TGATGTAGGTGCGCTTGCCGTCGATGGACACGAAGTGCTGGCCGCGCTGCGGGCTGGTGATCACCTCGCCGCTGCCCTGCGCGCCCGGCGGACCCGGCAGCTCCACTGCGCACGCGCGACACACATGACACACGGTCCACAAAAGGATCGACTGATTAAAGATTCCACGCGCGTCAACTAGTAAGGTCATTAGTCCGTAAGTGCGATTCGTGTTGTTTTATTGCGGGAGGTGGTGGTGAGCGACGCCGATCTTCCAGTCGACTGTGAGATTTTTTTCTCAACCAAGTTTCTCCCCCCAGAGAGGCATAGGCCCAGACTGCACAAGCTCTCAGCTCCCGACTGATCTCTCGGCATGTGTAATAGTAGTGAAGTAAGTGTAAGTTATAGGACAAGGAAGAAGAAGGACAAATCACGCGCGGTGCGTGGCCCGTTAGGATACTGCTGTGGCATTCACCAGTTGTTGATCGAAAAAAAACACGAAAACTACCGATCAGAACAGCCTGTCGCTAAAATTCTCTTCCAGATAGTGGCTGAATTCGACCTAGTTATGTAGCTAGTGTCGAAAATTCTACCGCCGTTGGGACTGGTCCCTAAGTTCTCCCGGTCAGAAGCAGTGCAGTGACATCAATTGATGTCCTGAGCAACCTAATTAGGCGGGTCCACACAAGGCGCTTATTCTCCATAGCTTGATGTGAAGCCTGCGGTGGGCGTGTTCACTATTTTTATTTGTGGTAAGCGAGTTCATATTAAAAGGAAATTTAAACACAATTCAGCTGACTTCAAAAACTAGGTTTATCTAATATCTTACAGCAACATAAATGCTGCTGAACAAAGGTAGATTAGGATTTATATTTAGATTTATTTAGTCAAAAGACAGTAAAACTGTAAGTGATGTACGGGGGAGATCATCGGCGCAGGTTTTCGTGATTTCCCAAATTTCTTCCCATCATTTTAACTATAAGTATTTGAAAGATGATTAAAAGTTAAAAATAAATATAAATAAGTAATAATCAATTTTTAAAAAGCGCGAGATTATCAACATTTGAAAAACTAGACATTTGGTTTCCGAGTTATAGAAAACGTATTTGCAACGGTAAGCGAACTTCAGATTTTATTTTCTACATTGCTAACAAAATAGTAACTCGCCCTTACCTATACTCCAATCCCTACAAGCAAAAAGAGAGTTCAACAAAAAGCGCGTTTTGTGAAGCTACATTTACGTCCAAAAGCAACTCAAGGTACCATTTCAGCATTTGCACAATGTATTAGGGAAACTGGACAAAAAGCTGATCGAGATGGAAGTCATTGACCCGGAAGCTGAAGTACATTATTTGTTACAAGCATGTTAAGTTTTTAACAAAACGATATAATACAAATATAAATTAATTAATTATATATTGCTGTTTTGTTAATATAAACATTATTTTTCTTTTTGATGCTCAGCATTGTCTCTAGTTGTATAGAAACAGTTTTGCAGCAGGGAAGATTTTACTTTTAACTTACATTTGTGTACCGATTTCAATTCTTTCTTGTCATCTGGCTAGGCGTTGTAAAGGAACGTTCATGTATGTGGATTTCTGGTTGTGAGCTATTGACACTTGATAAAAGTGATTTCTGCGATATGTAATTATAAATATCAGTATTGCATAAAAATATGTTCCTACCGTTAAGTAAGTCAGTTTTGGCAGATATTACAGATTCGTAAATAAATAGACAAGGCAATGGTAAGATTCCAAGCTCAATGAAGAGACTTGCAAGGATCACGCGGATTGCACTTTTTGATTATTCGAATAATTTTATTTTGCAAGCTAATGGTCCGTGTACTACATGATGAACTTCCCCAGAATATTATGTCTTATCTCAGGCGGGAATGCACATTTGCAAAATACACGCCTCGAGCTGCATGAAGGCTGATAGCATTTAAATAATTCTGAATGCGTAACATATTTTAGTGCTTAATTTTGCAATAATATTTCAAACCTGAACTTAATTTAGTGTTTAATTTTGTTATGTGTACATTCCATTTGAGATTTGGCTGAATTGAGAGACTTAGAAATTTTGATACCTTAATGCTAATTGCATAATGTTCATTTTCAATGGAGCATGTGATTGGTGATTTGAAATGCAAAAATGCATTTGATTTTCAATTTGAAACTCCTGAAATCGTACTATTATTTTTTTTTTTTATTTATTTATTTTTTTTTTTTTTTTTT